TAATGTTAACCTAGAAAAGTATAGAAAATATAAATTCATTATTTTAGATATTGAGGAAAACGATTAATTTTTTAGTTGCATTAAGTAAAAAAATAATGCTATTTAAAAGTGCAAAATGTGATACTAAAATTAATGTATTATGATATATTATTAACACAATATTGTGATTCATTTATTTATTATGTTCGTTGAAAATTTTTTTTTGTTTCAACAAATCTGGTAATACTTTATGTAAGTTAAAAGTATTTATATGTATATCATAATAAAATAAGATCGTTATTATTTGTTTCCCGTGCAAGCTCTTATAAAAAATATGAATATGCATTTCAAAATATTAAGAAATATAAACCTTTTATTATGTATATTTAACTTAACACAATGATATATTTTTATATCATCAGCCTCATATTCCTTTTTCTTCAAAATTACGAAAAAATATTTATTAATGTGTTATAAATCTGCTAGTATAAATATTTATAATTTTCTACGATTAAAAAATTTTATTTTGCAGCAATATTATAGTGTTTTATAACTTTATACTATTTTTATAATTAAATAATATATTTAACATTGTGTGTGTGCTTCTCACAATAAGTATAATGTAAACATATGTTATATAGGCATACAAGTTATTTGATGATAAGTGTTGAGTATATTCGTTGTAAAAAAAGCCTAGTACATTTTGCAAATACTCACATATTTTAGGTTATTGAAAATATCTACGTTTATAGATTTTTATAATTAAAAATATGAAAATTTATATGCTTGTTTGTAAAATGGTATAGAACGTTTTTATTCAGAAGAATTAATCTACTAATACCTGTATATAACGACTTTTATTTAACAACATGTCAATATTCAATATAATGCTTTCGTATATATTAATACAATAAAGTATTACAATAATGATTTCTATTATAAAAACAATTTTACAACATATGAGAAATAATAGCTGCTTTCCATTTACACCGATTCTCAGATAATTCTCACTTGTGACGTTATAACTCAGTTGAATGCGCGTTCCTTTTGCATTCTGACAAGTGAGATTCAACTGAGTTTTTACCCATAATCTGCACAAGATCGAGACCGTGTGCTTTAGTGAGTCTCGTAAACTCACTTCAAAGTGAGGTTATGAACCTGTGTTGACATGTGATAACTTTTTACCAAAGTAAGCAAGTAGTGACGTCATTAATCTGAGTATAAAATACTCAGCTCACTTCAGACTCAGTTTCACTTGTGTGTAAATGGAAAGCAACTAATATCTCTTTTTTCTGCTCCATTCATAAATACAATGTTATCTTGTACCTCTACTTCATCAAATGCGTCGTCATAAATAAATTCATCATCATTTTCTATGCATATATTATGTAAGATGCAAGAGGTAAGAATAACTAAGGGTATCATTTCTGTATTATACATATAAATATACTTCAATTTTCTAAACCTTCCTTTTAAGGCCCCTGAGTAGTCGCGACGGCCATGTTGGAATCGTGACGTCAGAAGCGAGGAATGATAGGGCTGTGTTCCAAAATTGTTTGTCAGCACTGCGAGCATGTCGTCATAAGTGCATGCTACCAATAGTGTTCCAATTTCATAAGCATGCTTTTTATGTAAACGCAGCTTTCATTTTGGAACGATATTTTCAGTGCTGTCAGCATATAGCGACGTCAGCGAAAGGAAACAAGTAACCTAGAAATATGGAGAGAAGCATACAGAAAAAATTCGTATTTGAAACTATTATAAAGTTAGCACTTGATTCTAGTGATAAAGAGTCTAGTGATTCAGATTCAGAATTAGCGGAAATTATATATAATTATTGCGAAGGTCAACCAAGAATACCGAAGGTACAAATAAATGGAAACCAATTTGTTCGAAGCACAAAGATCGTAATAGTAATGAGGAAGTTAAGGAAGTTAAGGAAACGGTATATACCATTGATGTTTCGAGGATAGTCAAAAACCAGTTTGTTCATAGATGGAATCAGATTTGTAGATTGTTAAACAAAATTTTATGCAAAGTTAAATGATTGTATTGAGAAATAATGTACATATTTTGTTAACGCCTATTGTATGTGAATAAAATAAATTTACTTTTTGATTTCCTCTTGTACATAGGTTA